ATGTTTAGGAACATTTGCTGTTTTTTTATTGAAGCAAAGTGAGCATGACAATCATCTACATATCTCTTGTAAGTTTTTTTTTCGGATGTATGAATAATTGCTATGTTAAGGGCTTTCCTTTCTATATTTTGTAAAAACGCTTCCGCCATAACAACCATTAAAGATAAACCTATAGGACCTGAATTAGGTATTATTCGGATATTGTTTTTATATAAAAGATAACATATACTTAATGAAAGTTCAATTAATTGATGTATGTCTGCAAGAGTAAGTTTAGTTTAAGTTATTAAGTCATCAATGTCAGCGTTCAATTTATCAATAATAACCGGAATTGCTTCGTCAATGGGTATGGATGGATATAAATTGACTATATTAAATGAAACTTGAACTTCGTTAGGATCTATTAACTATTGCTTAGCTTCATCTACGAAACTATTAGAATTCATAAGTCTACTTTTATTTTTGTTCAGAGTCGGTTGAACAATTTTAACAAGATAATCAGATGTTCCGTAAGGTGGTGTGTTAATTGTTGATACAACAGGGCGCATTGGGTAATCTTTTTCTTGTTTGTGAGCTTTAATCATTCCGTAAATCTTTGGTGGGTTACAATCTGATGGATACATTTAAAAGTATGTATTTGTGTCTAGTTTACCTTCATTGACTACTAAATTTCAAAGACAATTTGCACAACTGTCTTTGAAATTTAGAAGTCAATGTGGATGTTGGATCATAATCAATAATTTTTCTATTTTTTATTTGTTCTTCTAATTTGAGAGATGCATCTTTTTGATTTAATAATTTATTATACCTGATGACGCTGATCACAATAGATCAGCGAAATATCGATATAATTATATATTAAAAATATATATATATATATATATATATATATATATATATATATATATATATATATATATTTAAAAAAAGTTTATACGCAGCCGTATTTATTGAATTCTAACCAAATATATATATATATATATATACATATATATATATATATATATATATATATATATATATATATATATATATATATATATATATATATATATATATATATATATATATATATATATATATATATATATATATATATATATATATATATATATATATATATATATATATATATATATATATATATATATATATATATATATATATATATATATATATATATATAAATATATATATATTTAAAAAAAGTTTATACGCAGCCGTATTTATTGAATTTAAACCAAATATATATAAATATATATATATATATATATATATATATATATATATATATATATATATATATATATATATATATATATATATATATATATATATATATATATATATATATATATATATATATATATATATATATATATATATATATAAATTGTTAAAATCATTGTCAAAAGCCTACTTATCTATTTTCAGTAACTTCTGGGGTATCTCAAGGTTCTATTCTTTTGTTTCTTATCTACATTATTGATCTTCCCGACAATCCTACATCTATAGTAGCTCTTTTTGCAGGATGACACATGTTTTTACCCCTGTCTTGACAAAACGTCTTCTCTTTTCGATTGCTTAGAACAGGCAGCCAATTATGATTCTGATCTTACTTATGTAACAGATTGGGGCTCACTTATTTTGGCTTATAAATTTTAACTCCAAGAAAACTCAGCTATTTACTGCAAACAATTACCAACCTTCTCACTGAGTTCTCTTTTTTACATCTTCTTAAATTATTATTTATTACTGACCTTTCATGTAAACAAAACATACAATTTATTGCTAAGCTGGCATTCCTTTGTCATATTGTTACTCTTGATTCCATTCTCTACCTTTACAAATATATTTTTGTCCCGTAAGCAATGTTGTTGTCATATTTGGGCTGGTTCTTCTTATGATGCTCTTTTTCTTCTAAACAAGCCCTATCTGCTAAGCTTGAGCCTCGATAAGGTTGCATCTCTTTCTTTTTTCTACAATTTCTATCATGGTCGCTGCTCAAAAGAGTCACTATCTCTAGTTCCATTAACAAAAACTCATTCTCACTTGACTCTCTAGTATGCTAAGTCTCATTCATTAGTTTTTAAATTTTATTAAGTATAATAAATGTAAATAAACAATGTTTATTGTGTCAATATACACTGATACCAATAAAGATAAAATTGAAGAAGATTAAAATTATGAAAGAAGTTTTTATGCAGGACTGCTTCAACCGTATTAACCTTTAAGCATACCAAAACAAAAATAAATTCAGTAAGTTTTAGTATTTTGAATATTTCCCAAAAAAAACAAAAAAACGGACCCCTGCGGTTTTTTTCCAAAAAAACGACCAAAAAAAACAAAAAAACAAGAACCAAAAAACGCGTCACATCTCTAAATATGTTTTTTCTTCAAAAATACCTGTCTGAAAAATAAAAAAAGATTTAATCTTTATTTGAATAATTTATTTTTGCATTACAATATCATTTTAGGTAAAGATAATGGTTTAGTTGCTTGTCTTGAAAGAATATTGAAGAGAAGAATTCATTATTCAATTCAATTCAATTGGCTGTCTTCTATATGTTAACGAGTTACCATTGCGTCATTTAATTTCTAAACTTGATGGTTCTTTTAATAGCTCAAATAAATATTTGGGTAGTCTAAATAACAATATTATTTTACATTCTTGGTGATAATAATATTATTATTTAGATTACCTAATTATTATTTAGCAACATTATTAAAATTTATAGAAATTCTATTTTTAACATAGGAGTTTTATTGCTGCTTTACTTTATTCTGATAAGCACAAATATAAATTATTATTTTAAGTAAAAAGTTATAACTAATAATATTAATATACTTGATTAAATAATAATAATAATAATAATAATAATAATAATAATAATAATATTTTAAAAGGCCAGTTGGAAAATCTTTGCCAAATCCAGTTCATTTAAATTTAACTGTTGACTTCATACAAGTTGTGACAGACGTTGAATATCCTCCTCCGTGTGTCATGATAGACCTCTTTGCTAACCAGAGAATGCTACTTGAATACAGTATTGGAATTTTTAGAGGGCTTTCAGACAATAAGAAACCTGAGAAAAAAAATAGGTGTGTTGTTTTGTAAATCATTTGTTCTTAATATTTTTCCTTTAATTTTGCTTGTTTGAAGTTTGTAAAAATATACATTTATTAATATATAATTTGCTATTAATTTATGTAATTAAATAATTTTTATATATAAAAGATTATATTTTTAGTTCCTATTAGTCAAGCAAGGTGGCCGACACCAGCAGTACGGATTTGGCACTATACAGAAGAACAATCAATCCCAGTAGAGAGCTCAAAATATTTGTTGAATATATTCAAACAAAATATATACTCCTTTGTGGTTTAATATCAAAAAGTCTAGGAATTTCACAAAGGATCCTTAACTCATTTTCCAATTTATTTAGCGGACTTTGAGGTTGGATACTGAAGTTCAAAATATTACATTGCCCATAATTTATAGAAACTCTTTTTATCTCCAACCTCAGAATTTAACTGCTGCTCTACTTTATTCTATAGAACAGGTTAATAGAACAATTGCTGTTGTTAAGATTTTGTAAACAAGAAAAACCCTAATTAAGGATCGTAAAAATGGATTAAAAGACGGAATTAGGGTTAATGTTATTCCAGTTATTGATTGTAAATGTAAAAACTGGTCAGAATTAATAAATTTGCATGATATAGACTCTTTTGAGCCCCCTTGTGTGGAAGATATGTCAATGAGGAGCTTTTGAGTATGATTCTGAATCAGGGAAAGACTTCTCACTTTCCGTGTCAATTGCAAACGGTTGAAAGACCAGTGAAAATGACTTCTGATGCTATCGGAAAAGTTATTAACCTCAAGAAAAAAAATGCTTTTATTTTATCTAAATGCCAAAGTCAAAAAAAGCAAAAATATTTTAGAACAAAGAAAGAAAATACGTTGTAATTTGTTATCATTTCTTTAAAATAATTTATTTTGTAATATGTTTATTATTAATATTAATTTGGTTCAGCAGTAAAAGTATAGTATATTTAGTAGTAGTTCACTTGCTGAATAAAATATCTACAAAATCAAAAGTAGTATAACAGAATCTTGTTTTTTTGGGTGAGTAAGGAATGGGGGAAGGGGAAGGAGGGGGGACTTGTTAACACTTACCCCGCCATCTAGTCGCCACCCGTAAAAATAGTTTTCTTTTTTTCCTTCTGTATATTAGAATAAATCCTAATAAAAAGTGCAGTATCAACATAACATTGTTGTTTAAATTTAAATCCGTTTTTCAGTTAATGGCTTATGAATATAGAAAACCCCTTATTGTTTAAGTTATAATAATTATTCGTTCAATACCCTAAAAACAACCATTAAATTAACCATTAAATTATTTAAACCATAAAATTATTTAAACAACCTATCCTTATAAACAAGGAATTCATAAAAGTTTTTGTGCGTTAACGTTTTAAATATTCATTATGCTACCTCTCAAAGATTTTGCTTTTTAATGATAATATTTGATAAATATAAGTCCAAATAAGAATTGGAAATACCTGACGCTTTTATAATTTGCCCATAATTTTTTTATAGTCTAAAGAAGGTACTTCAGCTTGAATTAATTGCAATTTCGAAAAAAAAAAAAAAAAAATATATATATATATATATATATATATATATATATATATATATATATATATATATATATATATATATATATATATATATATATATATATATATATATATATATATATATGTATATATATAATATATATATATATATATATATATATATATATATATATATATATATATATATATATATATATATATATATATATATATATATATATATATATATATATATATATATATATATATATATATATATATATATATATATATATATATATATATATACATATATGCACAAGTTTATCAACATAATTCTATCAGTTTTTTTATTTCAATGTGTAACAAGCAAGACCATCTGGTGTGAAAAGATATAATTTTTTAAATTTATAACTTACATATTTATAAACTTATTAGTTTACATCTTCATCCGTAAGATAAATAAATGTTTATAATGTAAGTGAAATTTTTATTTAAGTCATCCACGAATTTCATCCTTAAAAAATTCTTGTGGCATAAAGTCGTCACTTGTTTCCGGTGAAAGACTTTTGAAGGAAGAAATATTATAATAAGCGCTTTCTTCGTTGATTTCAAAGCTAAAGTAGTAGTCTTCTTGAGATATAATATTTTCAAGATGCTCACGTAACTCTGTAAAATTAGGTCGCTGCAATGGATCTTCATTCCAACAGTGCAACATAATATCGTACCTAAAATTATATATACATGTTTATGTTCTGCATGTTTTATTTGAAAAGTCAAAAAACAGAAAAAAAGATAAGGGGAATGAGAACATCACTATAAAAAGACAAATTAAATATATAAAAAAAAAAATACAAAAAGTAAAAATTGAACAAACTATTTACATAGTTTCAGAGCAGTTTTGTGGTTTCTCCATTCTGTATCCAGATTTCAAAAGATCCATAAGTTCACGATTACTTATGGTAGGGTAAGGTGTGCCTCCTACAAACCGTTTAGAAATAAACAAGATAATGAAATTTTAAGAGTAAGAAAAAGTTATCAGACACTTACCAAGTGTAACAATTTCAAACAAAACAATGCCATAAGACCATCTAAAACATACTAATAATAAAACTATTTGACATTTATAATTATAATTTAAAACCGTTTATAAACAAAAAAATTTATAAAGAAGAAAAAACAACTAAAAAAAAGAGCAAAATAGTTACACGTCACTATATGTAGTAAACACTTGATTAGATAAAGCTTCGATTGACATCCATTTGACCGGCAAACGACGAGTTTTTTTGCTCATATATATTAAGTCATCACTTACATTCCTTGTCAGACCAAAATCGGATATTTTAACATTATTATTAGTGCCAATCAATATATTTCTAGCAGCGAGATCTCGATGTACCAATTTTAAAGTAGAAAGATATTCCTGAATAACAAGTTTAAATAATAATAATAAAATTATTAAAGAACTAAAAAAGGTAAAAAAAAAGGCAAAATTAAACAGATTTATACCATTCCTGAAGCCACTTGCCATGCAAAACTAAGTAAATCTTCTTGTGTAATCATTTTCGATTCATTTAAATAATCATCATTTATCGTTAAATCAGATTTAGATTTTATTAATTCAGATTTAATACTTTCATTTATTAACGTTGCCTAAAGCGAATTTGTAAAATGATTATACACTTAAAGGAGACATTAACAACGTTGGAACACATAAAATAACATAAATTTTATAATAAAAAAAACAAAAAAAAAACATTATTTTTATGAAGCCAAAAACAATATATAATAAAAATAATTATAGTTAAGGATTTTAAAAAATAAGTCTAGAAAGTCTAGAATAATATATTTAGAAAAATAACCTCAAAAGATTTTCCATAATTTGGAAAGCCTAATGCTGATTCTCTATAATCTCTTTCGCCAACAGATAATCCTGAATCAACTTTAGGCAAGCAAACCTAAAAAATTGTACACTAACAAGATAAACAATTCAGTAATAATAATTTATAAGTACTTATAAGAAAAAACAATCTTACTTTGCTGCGCTTATTTCTTAAATAATGTAACAAATCTCCATTCTCCATAAACTCAACAATCAAACATAAAGGTTTTTTTATTGTAGAGCAACCTATTATATTTACAATATTCTTATGATAGCCAATTCTTTTCATAAGATTTATTTCTTCACGAAAATCGTTTATTTCTGATTGGTTTGCACCCTCTAAATTAAAAAAAGATTCAAATTTATTAAATAATGACACATTAATACTTACACTAAAATTTCTGTAGATTAGAAAACTTATAAAAAAATTAAAAAATATCTCAAGAGGTGTTATAATATTCAAAAAACAAACTGTCAGTGACTTTGCAGGCGTTAAACCCCCACATTTTTCCTTTTTTAATCTGAAACATAAATAATCAACTTTCAAACTCGTTTTCCGACAATTCAAGTTATTTACCTTCTCTACTCAACTTACGTCTTGTTTCTGATCCTAGTTAAAACTCAGTTTCTCCACCTTCACCCTTAGATAATACTGATCAAGGTTTGATCTCTCTAAGACTATTATCTCATTCTTCTTCATCATCGGACCCCCCTGATCATTGTACCTCTTACAACTACCTTAAACCTGACTGGGACTCTTACCGTGGTTTTATTTGTGCTCGCCTTTGGGTAAAAATTTTATTTTTGTCTTCCTGCTGACAAATGTGCTTCTTATATAATTTCTGGAATTAAGACAGGCATGGAATCTTTTTTTCCCTCTTGAAAATTCCAATTCAAGCCTCACTCCATGGCTTTCTTCACCTTGTGCTGATACAATTTCCAATCGTAACCATTACTTCCTTATCTTTATCAAAAAAAATATCCAGAAAAAATGTCTGCTTACTATAGCTAGAAATTATTGCAAGTTGTAAAATTTCTTAGCTCACAAAACCTTGTACTCCATCTAAAAAATAAGGCTCCAGAGATATCATCGGAGTATCTTTAACAGTGTCTATAATAAAGAAAAGTCTGTTATTCCACCTTAAAGACTTTTCATCAATCTAATATTTTGATTACATTAGTCACATCTTATCTGACATAGCCAACAAACAGTTTGATCAATTGTTTGATATTGGCATCACTCCAGCTTCTGAATTTAAAATGATTTCCTAATTAGACTCTTCTAAACCTTGGCTTGGAAACATACCTTATATAATCTTGCGAAATTGTAAAAATGTTATTGCCCGAGCTGTCATCTATACTTTCAAAACTGCTTAACAAGAGCTTCTAAGAGTCTGGTTTTCCAGCCTTCTGGAAAACCACACTTGTTAACCCTATATTTAAATATTTTGGAGAGCAATGTGACTCTTCTAACTACCATCCCATAAGTCTTCTTAAGTACCATTAGCAATGTTTTTGAGTCTTTAACTAACAAACACTGAATCTATCATCTTGATTACATTCTTTTTTTTCTAGTATTTAATAATGCTTCTAACTGATAGGTTTTATTTTACATTAGATGTGGAGAGTTTAAAGCAATCGCTCTTAACAGTTGTAAAGTCTATGATGAAGCTCGGCATGCTAGTCTTCTACATAAGCTTTTTTCGTACGGTGTATCAGGTAACATCTTTAAGAATATTGAATCTTTCCTAACCAATCATAGCATAATAGTTATCTTTAATGGACAGAACTCTACATTACCAATCCCACAGAAATTCTCATAATAGTATAATATAAGATATAAAGTGGCATTGTTTTCTGATGATACTACAATTTATTCTTATCTTGAAAAGAAGCCTATACACTCTGATCACTTGGAGGGGGCATAAGAGCTTGTAAAATATCTTAATTCTGCTACAGCATGTGGCTTTCAGTGCTTAGTGACCCTTAGCTCTGATAAAACTTTGCAATAATCTAGATTTTCCTTTATTTATAAATAGTAATATAATTGAGTAGCTATCTACCCTCCGTCCTCTGGGATTAACTCTTGTGATTTTTCATGAAATATTAAATGCATCGCAAAATAAGTATCCGCTAAGTTTGCATCTTTTTATTGTGTTTGCCATTTTTTTACTCTGGATTTTATTCTATATCTTGTATGGAATACAGTTATTTTTTCTCTTTTAGAAAAGGTACAAAAACACGTTATAAACATATTTGGACCTGCTCTTGCAGCCAATTATCAACCATTGTCACATTTTTGTAATTTTGCTTTTTCTTTTCTATAAATACTATAATAGTTGTTGCTCTAAAGAGTGTGTGTCTCTTGTGCCATCTAATAAAATTCAATCTCGTGTTACTCAGCATTCACTTAAGTCTCATTCTTTTACTGCAAACTATTCCTATAAGCTCAAATAAATTCTTTTTGTCTAGTTTTTTCTTTGAACATCAATTTTTCGGAATTTGCTTTTTTAGATTCAGCACCTATATGATGTACAGGTTGAACTATTAACTGACTTGAATTTATTGACTAAAGCAGAAACTAAGTGTTTCCGAAAAAATTGAAAAAAATGACTATCAGTGTTAAAAGAAACTGAGAAGTTTTTTTGATATGTGGGAAGTAGATTAATTACTGTGTAATTAAAATAATATCAAAGCATTCAAAAAAGTTGGAAGTTGTTTATTTGTTTTATTTTACAAAATTGATGAGACTGTGATATAAAAAAGATATTAAATTGATGTCAAAGAATTAGAAAAAACCTGCTGAAAAAAATGACAGATAAAAAATTCTAAACTGGAAATAAACTTTGTTTGAAATAATGTAAAAAGTTAAAGTGGCTGCTAGGTAAAATAACTCAAAATGTTTCAAAATCAGATGAAATGAATTAGCTTGTGGAAGGAGAGATTGAAACGGTTTGACGGTAATGATGATTTTTTTGTTTAATATAATTAGATTATTTTCATAACTAAATTTTTTTGAAAAAACCCACTTAAATAATGATAGCAAATGGCACCCTTAGCACTGAACTGTGCAGTTGTTTCATTCGTGATAAACAGAATAGTAACAATGGGCTCATGTGACTGTGTTGAGTCAAGATGATCAAACACTCATCATCATAATCAGAAAACAATGTAAAAAACGGTTTATAACCATGTTAGCTTATAAAATAATTAAGAAATACAAGGCTGGTTAACAGTTTCCTCTGAAAGTCTTCACCCATTTCTTAGCTAGTAAGTTATCAGAAAGTATTTAGATGTGCCAGCTTCCTTAAAACAAATCTTAATTTTAATTATAGATGTGCCAGCTTTGTTAACAAAAATTTTTAATATTAATAAAAGTAAAAGTAAAAATTAGGTTAAAATTTTTATTATAAAATTACATAAATAAATGTGCAGAGGTAATTTTATATATAAAATTACATCTGCACATTTAAATTGAAATCAGCAAAAGCCTTAAAACAGAAGTTAAAAAGTTTTTAAAATATAATTAAACTTAGTATATATAGCTACCTACATTATATGTAGGTATGATAAATAGTAATGTTATATACATTATATATAGGTATGATATGTAGTAATGTATGCATAATAGTGTGCATAATATTATTATGCATAATATAAACGCTGCAACTGAATTTAAAAATATAACACAGTAATTAACCTCTTAAAAGTTTAACAGCAACATTAAGATGTTTACTTTCACGAAACGAAGAATCAGGTTTTTGACGAACACTTTTTGTTTTAGCAAGAACATTTACATTGATTTTTGCAACAAAGACAGTCCCGAAAGCCCCTTCACCAATTTTCTTATCTAAAACAATACATTCAGGGCTGATTTCCCATTCATCTGCTTTTCTAAAAATTTAAACAAAAGCATATTTGTTAGGAACAACATACAGTAAAAATTTTTTGCTATATTTTACTACGACAAATATTTAAAAAAATAAAACAATTATATTACCTTAATATAATATACTTTTTATTATTTCAACATGGTGATTACAATAAAAATAAGAAGTTTTCCAAATTTGAAATTTTAAATAAATAGATTTAGAATTATAATGGAATAAATTAAATACAAAGTCAATTCACTCCATTTATATTTTATTCTATTTATATTTACATTATAAAGTTTATATATTTTTATTTGGTATCTCATAAGCCCAGAAAAATTTGTTTAAATATTTAATAAGTTGATTTATTTGTTTATGACCTAGTTAAAAAAAAAAGACATATTGGTTTGTACATATAATATAATAATACAAAACGTTCTAAAAATATAAATTATTATAAAAGTTTATAAAGGTTAAAATAAAAATAAAAATAAGCAAACAAAAACAGAAACTTAACCAACTAAAAGGATTTTTTATTTAAAATAAGTTGTCATAAATTGAAAAAATATTAGCAGTTAATTACAAATATTTAAGTTGTTGCAAACTGTTAGACTAAATACTACTGCAAACAAATATTTTTAAACCACCTTTAAAACAACAAATTTTGGTTCAGTTTATGTTTCATATTTATTTTATTACTATTGTCATTAAATAAAAGTTTCAATCTAAATGAAATAAGTATAAAATACACAGCTTTATTTTTTTTTTTGGATACAATAAGTTTTTCTTAAAGTATTCCTTTAAATGTATTTTCTTAAAGTATTCCTAAAGTATTCAATCTAAATGAAATAAGTATAAAATACAAAAGTTTTTTTTTTTTTTTTTGCATAAAATATGTTTTTCTTAAAGTATTCCTCATATATATATATATATATATATATATATATATATATATATATATATATATATATATATATATATATATATATATATATATATATATATATATATATATATATATATATATATAGTTTTTTTGGTAAAAAATATTTTTTCTAAAATTGTTTTAATACTCTGTAGCGTTTTTTCATATTTTCTTATGCTTATAAGTTTATGTTTATGTCTTTTTAAAATCTCTGTAAAAAAACACTTCTTCTGATACCCAAGTTGATAATCTTCAAAAAAAGTTTTTTTTTTTTTGACAATGCTAAGAATTTTACTCTAAATATTTAGAATTCAAAGCCTATTATCTTTAAAACTTGGTCTGATAGAAGAAAAAGGATTACATATTTGTAAATCAGAATGAGAAATATTATAAAAAAACATATTGTATGCAAAAAAAAAGCAAGAAGTTTAAATTTTCTGGGCCTGTGATATTTATTAACTTCTTGTATATAGCAATTTAAAAAAGTTGTTAGGCCTATCATATCTCTACTGAAAATATAAACTTCACATATTAACTTAAGCACTAACGGTCATAATTTTCAAATCAAATTAGATATTGGTGAAATTACCAGCGGTCTTTGTAGCTCACCAAGTCCATTTTGGACAAGCTATTCATAACTCGTACACTCATTTACTCCTGCAAACAAAAAACTGTTATTTTTAAAAAAAATAACTTTAATACTGCTGATTTTTTTATTTTGATGAATGGAAATCCTCTTACCGAGTCCTCCTTTAAATTTTTTTGAATTTTGTTCCTTACTGACCTCTTATTGAAACCATATATACAATTGATTTCGAAGGTTGCTACTCTTTATTATGCTTAGCATTCTCTTACTCCTGATTCCATTTTCTACCTCAACAAATCAAAATTTTAATTCTTTGTTCCTGTATGTAATACCGTTGTCATATTTAATACTCTTTCTTGTTGTCATACTAAACAAAGACCAAACTCACATTATAACCCTAGTTGGACCTGCTCTATTTGCCAAATTTGAATCTTTCTTCTATTGAAATAAAGTTGCATCTCTTCTTCTTTTCTAAAAATGCTATCACGGTACTGTTATAAGGAGCTATTATTTTAAATTCCATCATACAAAACTCATTCTTGCTTGACTTGTTATTCAGTAAATTCTCATCCTTTTACGGTATCTATCCAAGCAAACTCTAAAAACTATTATTTGTCTAGTTTTTTTCGCTCCGCACTGCAACCCTTCGAACTCTCTCCAACCTCTATTTTTTGATTTCTAGTAACTTTCAACATAATAATTATTGCTTGCAATCTTGTTGGAAGTGAATCAGAATTTAAAAAAATAATAATAAAAACTTTAAAGTAATTATAATGTCAAGTTTATAGCTGAAACTATTTTAAAACTTTTTTTCTTTTGTGCGATTTTTAAAACTTTATATTTTGCATAATTTTGTTCATATTTTTATTAACATGATTAAAGCATCAATCAAAATACTATTATCTTTTGAAGTGTTAAGACTTACTAACACTTTAAGTATTTAAATCTTACTAACACTTACGTGGTATAAGTGTAAAGATCAAAACTGCACTTTAGAGGTGTCAATACTTACATTGTTAAAGTGTAAAGATCAAAAGTACACTTTGCAGATGTTATTCTTTGTTTCTTGCGACGAATTATTGATAAAACAACAACCACAAAAATGATAAGAACAATTAAAACAGGAAATATAATTGCAAAAAAGGTATTTGGCAAGCTTTCTAAACAAACAAAAAATCTTTTTAAATAAAAATTTGTTTTTTATTTTTAAATATGTAGTTTTTTTTATAGGTTTAAAGTTTTTACATTTAGGTTGAACTTAAAATGAGCTTTTTTTTGATCAAAGCTAATTTTTATTAAAGGAACCTGAAAACAGAACTGATTATAGGAATTCTTAATAAAAAATGTTTATTTATTTATTTCAGAACAAATGCTACAAAAATCTCTGTTATGATTAATTAAAACAATTGTGAGATTCTAATAAACTTCATTCATTCTTGCACGATGTTTTGTCATTCATTATTTGATTTTTATTAACACAATTTCAATTGAAATAGATATAAAAAAAAAATCAATGTTACATTTAAAATGCAAAAACTTACGACTAATGTAAACTTTTTCATTTGATGTTGGACCTAAAAAGTAAAAGTATTAAAAAAATCTTGTATTTAAAACACAGTGGGTACAAGTACGTTTTTCAAACATTTTTTAAATGTTTAATGGTGGCTTGAATGATGATTGTATAAGTAAAACGTTCAAAATACATGTCAAAAAAAATGTGTCAACGTCTTTCTAAAAAACGTATTGCAAAAGACACGGAAGTGATAAATATAAGAAAACTGTGGAAGATATACTAAAAGTGCTTCTAGACCCTAATATTAAGTTGCCCAGTTTTTATGCAGTGAATTTATTAAGTTAGCCCCCTGTTGGAACAAAACGCATTGATATAAGTGCTTTGCTTTAGAGCGTTACTTCGATTTGAGAAAAAACGACTACTTCGATTTGAGAAAAAACAATTTTTGAGTTTTCAAAATGAAATGTAAATTATGATTAATACAATGAACCACCATGTGTTAAATAAAAACCAAATTTAACAGGCTAAAAAAATATACAGATGATGAATACATTAAACCACCGTGTGTTAAATAAAAATCAAATTTAACATGCTCATAAAAATGTTAACAGCAGTCATACTCTAAATAATGCTGACTATCCTTACCTAACAAAGGAACAGTCTGAAAAAAAACAAGTAAAAACATCAGTGCATCAATTATCCTAAAATGTTGTTAGAGATGATAATCAATTTAAATTTAAAACAAATAGTTTTATTTTAGGTTCTTTTGATCCCAAACGAGACTTGAATCTACACTGAACAACCTACCCAAAAAAATATGGATACTTTTGTTTCAAGACTCCTATGTACTTAGAAAGATATTGATGATGATGATGAAAGAAGATAAAAGATGAAAGAAATTTATAGAAAGATGTATATAAATATTGATTATAACTATTATCATTTGCGAGTTGAAAATAATTACTCTGTAAAATATGAGAAGTAAAAGTCTAAATATCCTGGATACTCTTTGTATTATATATCTGTATCTGTTGACCATTCTCAGTTAAAAAATAAAACAGATTGTTTAATCTTAAATGAAGCTTTTCCAATTGGCCTACTTGTTAGAAGATATTTTAAGCCAAAAAACGGCTAAAATAATAGCTTATCATTTTGTTCCTTCAGGTGTCTTTTTTTAAAAAATAGTGTTTTTGCAATCATAATATGTGTAACAATTATGACTTTAATATGCTCCAAGAGCATTGTTTATTGCCTTATGAGCTTGATTTGTTAAACAATGTTCATAATGATCATTATGGTACTGGTTTGTCTGCTGTGAGTAGTGGTGGGTAAAAAACATGTTTTTTAAACTTACATTTCATTTCATTCAAAAGACAAGTATATGTGCGATAAACGTGTTTTTTGCATTTCAATTATTAAATCAACAACTAGAACATTAATTATTGTGGCTGTCTTCTGAGTTGTGTGTAGAGAAAAGATGAGAGATATCTGCCATAGTGGTGTAGTGGTAGAGTGATTGCCTCATAAGCGAGTTCTTAGTTCAATCCTTACGACCTCCCTGGTAGTACAGCGTTCAACTTACTTCTTTGTGCAGCGGCTTGTTTGTCAAGGTTTGTGTTTCGGAGTATTAAAGTTAAGACAGGGTTGTAACCACAACTAAAGTAGCATGCTTGACTGCAGTGATCTTCATGGCCTTGAGGAAAAGAATTAAAATTAAATATATATATATATATATATTTGTTTTTTTATTTTAATAAGCGCAAGGGTCTCTGAAGTTGATCCAAGCTCACATTAAGATTTGCACAACCATATAGCTAAAACGGAAGACTTTTTAATGAGCCACATAGTGCAATGAAAATTTAAGCTGTTACATTTATATGTGAGAGGTGTTCGAAGACTTTTACACTGTTCTTTTATTTTTAGTTTTAGTCGATAATAGTTTAACCAAACTAATATAGATTTATGTAGAAAACTAATTTATGCACAGATACCTTATGTGAGATATAATATTGTTTATATTTATGTCTATAATTTTTTTATTTATTTCGGAATTTGATTTCAACTTTGTATAGCAAGCATTTTATATATCTAAAACTTGATTGAGTTAAATATACTTTTCCGATTGCAACGGTACATATTATTTTGCCATTCCGTTTTTCTAATTTTGTAGCCAATTTTGTAACATTTAAATCATGATTGGGTCTTAAACGGAAGGCTTTAGAATGCTAAAACCCTTATCTATTATGTGACTCAATACGAGTCTCTTTAGTTTAATTCATCTTTCAATGTTGTTCTATCAGAAAAAAATTTAATACATATGTTAAACATGATAACTTCTACAGTTCATAACTATATGTAAAAATTATGTAAACAAATATTCTATGATTAATATATGAAATTTCGTTCTAATCAATAAGGCAGATCAGATTTAAACAAATTAAGTTTAAATTAACACGTTTAATTAATTAACTCAAAGCACACTAAAAGAAATAAATTAAATACTTTTTAGTTTTACCTCATAGAGGAATCTGATACAAACCTATAAAATCTATATCTTCCGTAAATTCACTATACTTGATTTCTGATTGTGTTATATCCTTGTAATCACTGTGATTAATACTTTGAGAGAAACCATCATAATTTTAAAACTCTGCATGAGATATTGTAGAATCAAGTAACTTATTTGCTTTTTTAATGCATGATTAGATTAGCGAGGACAAACTTATTATTTTTTTTTGGTTTGTTAAATGAACTTTTGAAATCTTGCAGATGGCCTTTTAGGTTTAAACTCATCAGTGTGTCGTTTTGTTTTATGTAAGTAAACCTACTAGCTCTATAGTTAATTAGTATATTACTAGTTATATTCTTATGATATTATGAGATATAATATTAGTCTTTCATTAGAATTTGCAACTTCCTGTGAATTAAGCCTCCAGTAAAGGTTCTTTCAGTAGCAGCTGAAAAAGATAGCATAAATAAAATTTTAATAGGTGAATCAGCAATTGTACTAGATTTTTAGAGCTAGCCGATATGTTATAGAACCCTGACTTCTAGAGAGTTACTCAACATAGCTATTTTCATTAATTAAATTTTATGAAGAAGATTTTTAATTGGGCAAATTCATTGCAAACAGGTACTTTGAAAAAAACTCCTTCCAAATTGTAAATTCAATCACGTTTAGAGGGTACCTAATGCAAAATAGCTCAAGAAAAGCCATATTTGAATGCACCCTGTAAGAAAAAAAATTTAAGTATACAATAAAAGTTAAATACATATAAGGCAATTAAAATATAAGGCAATATAATTTACACTATGCGACTTGATAATACTTCAAAAAAATCAAGCCTAAAGTGAAAATTATCGAATAAAATTAAAAAGAAATATTAATATATTTTATTGACTTGAGCAAATTTTACACCACAATATAATTTTGGTTTATAGTGACCAAAAATTACAATGCAACAATCTCGCATGTTTGCTTCTTTAATTTATAAGAAATAGAATTATATTTTTGAAAATGTCAAAAAAAGTATTATACCTTACAATTTTTAACAAAAAAGCATTTTTCTCATATAATTTGTTTTTTATAAAAAAAATTTATAAAAAAACCATATTTTATTTAGTAGAGTGTAGCTAATATAACCAAACATACTTCTTTCCGTTCCAATGCAATAAACATTAATCAACTTTTTGATTTTTTTGAACAAGAAACAGATCGAACAGAAGATGATTTATATAATTCTTATATCAACTATTGTTGCATCTATGCCTTCACTATTTGATCTCGTAATTTCTGTACAATAAACAAAATTGTTTTTATTATTAATAAAGTAATAATAAAAACAATTTTGAAAAACTCACAATCTTTTTTTCGATGGCCTTGCCCAAAGTTATTATTTGTGTTTTTCTCTCCTGCTATTTCTTTCTTTCACAACAGCATTTCTTAACTCTTCTGGTATTTTACCGCGCTAAGCATGAACAAGTAAAATACGTGTATTCTTTGAATAGCATTTTCCACAATATTTGCAACTGTATGAGTTGGCTGTTTTACCTAAAGTTTTTAGAAAAAGCTTCTTGAATGGGTCTGCTTTGCGAGGCATTTTCATTGAGAAAAATCAATTCTATTCAATTTTCAGTCATATCTGAAATACAAATGATTATAAAGAATTACAAGTCCATAAAACGAAATAAAATCGAGATAATCTTTGGAAAAAACATAGCTGCATCCCATATTGCAAAAGCTTTCATCGAATAAAACGTTTTATTTCTTCTGGTCAACTGCATATTTTTTAATAACATATGGCAAAAAACGCCTTTTTTTTGCGACATTTTAAACATTCGCGCACCTCTGTGAGTTCTTCATCTGATTAATGATTGGAAGACCATATGGTGGTACAACTATATTATAAAAATCTTGCTAAAATTTTTCAAGTTATTAAATCTCACGAATCTAGAATCTTTTGTTTAAAAATTGTCTTAAATTTGGTCCTATACTGTTGAAAAATGTATATATGCTGATAAATTATAATGATGAGCACAGTCTCCATTACTACATCGGTTTATGTTTAAAATAAAGTATATTATAGCTTATGCAGATGTTATTCATATAATTATTGCTGGCGACTTCAATTGCACAAATAGATCTTGATTTTCTGATGAGTTCTCAAATCTTGCAATAGAAATTAATCTGATTAAATCCAACTTAAATTGTATAAATAGCACTTTTACATGTTAGTGATGATAGAAATCTTGTCTTTTGGTTAAACCACATTCTGTGCAGCCCAATAATTGATAATCTGATGATAAATAATTCAGTTCTAATAGATGTTATAGCATCAGATCATAAACTAATAACATTTAAATTAGCTATAAGATACTGTAAGAGGTATCAGTAACAAAAAAGTTGTGAGCCACATTGCTAGTGTGGGAGGAGCCACTGGTGACAATGATATAGCTCAAATGAGAAAAGATCAATTTCAAGCAATGTATAAGTCAATAAATAAAACAGAATACAAAGTCCACTTTGCTGAAAAAATGGTGCTATCTAAACAAGGTAATGCA